ACCCCCGTTCCAGTGTCTGCTCCGGTCTGCTAGACCGGAACTACTGCTCACCTCGTGAAGGAGCAGGCTCAGCTGGGAGTGTGTCCAGCCGTTCAGAAGCATCAAGTGCCTTCAAGCTTGGTGGCATTTGAAGGAGCAGGAGCTCGGGCATCACGAAGTCCGTGTTCTGCCAGAGCGTGGCGCTGTGTGACCTTGGGCCGCGGTGGCACCTCTCTGGGCTTCACTGTCTGCCTTCTAGTTGGATTTCAGCTACACAGTGCTTCTCAAATGCTAGAGTTCACGAGAAGCTCTGGGGGTGCTTTCAAAGCGAAGGTCCCCAGGCCCCAGTTGCAGAGATTAAGATGTAACAGAGCTGGGCCAGCAGGTGGCGGGGCGGTTAAGGTGTTGGACTCACACCTGGTCAACTATGGTTCGCGTTCCAGACCTGGAGCTTGAAAATCATGCCAGATGCATGTGCATGTGTGTGTGTGTGCGCACCCAAAATCCCAAGAAGAGAATGGAGAAGGGATCACGGCGTGTCCAGCCCCCCCGGGGGTGATTTCTCGCTTTCCCTCCCACTTTCCCTGTTTCTCTCAGGCGAGCACATGTACCCTATGGTAAAAACCTAAAAAAAAAGCAGATCTGAGGCCCAGCTTCCGCGCCGCTGCAGATGCCTGCCGTAACCCTGGAGCGAGTTCCCAGGAGACGCTTCCGCGTCATCCCAGGATCCCCCCGCGGAGTTCCCGGTGTCTCCCGTACAGCCTGTCTCTGGTTCTCGTCACCGGAAGGCACGAGAGAAGCCCATGCCCTGCCTCAGTGTCCCCGTGCATTTCCATGGGGACCTCACTGTGCTGGGTGGTCTCCTCCAGGTTGCCTGGTGTCCCGCAGGCCCTGGGCAGACGACAGAAGGGCGTGACCACACCAGGTCACGTTGGCCACACCAGGGGCAGGCTGCGGCAGAGGCAGCCGTGGGGAGCAGAGGGCGCGGTTGTGGGGAACGCCAGGTGCAGTCGGAGGCCGGGGAAGGGAAGGGTGTGTGGGACCATCGCTGCCCCCTCTCCGCATCCCTGGGGGGACAGGGCAGCGCTGTGACCTGCTCAGGGCGAGCCTAGGTGCGTGGGGACGAGGTGCCTGGAGGGAGCCCTGGTCTCCATGGAGGACAGCCTGGATCCCAGGCGCCCTCAGAGCTGGACAGTCACGTGCCTCGGAGGCCAGGTCTGTGACAGAAGCTAGAGCCGGGCCAATTGGGTCCAGTCCCGGCTCCACACCTTCCTTTTCAACCCATCCAAGTCTTCTGTGACAGAGACAGGGACAGACACCATCACCCTGCAGGGTCCTCACAGCACAGCCCCATCGCAGCTGGCCCAGGGTGCAGGCGCACGCATGCCTGGTGTGCCCAAGGTGAGCTGGGGACGTGCGTCCAGGACCCTTCCCGTGTGGCTCCCGTGTGCCCCACTGAGCACACCTGGCCCGAGCCCCGTTCCCCATGTGTGAGGAATGGGGCCGCGTCTGCCCCACATGCTCCTGGGCGTCAGGCTCAGGGCTCCCATGGTGCATGTGATCTTCCTGACCCCGAGAGCTGGGTGCCAGTGTCACCCCCTGTAGTGCGCGGTCACTGAGGCCTGGAGTTCCGGAGACGGCTGAGTCACTGAGCTGGTGCGCAGCAGAGACGGGCCGGGCCTGGGCTGCCCCGAGCTCAGGTGGCTCCAAGCACGTTGCTCAGGGCCTCTCCGCCCACGAGGGGCAGCTCCCGACGCTTGGAGGTGGAGAGGTCTGCATCTGTCCTGGGGAACGGAGGGGCCGAGGGTCATATGGTCCCGGTGCCCACCCTGCCTCCGCCCCACCTGCAGAGTGGCCGGGGCCTTCCCTCCGCCTCCTCGAGGTCCCGCGAGGCCGGGGTCAGCGCGCGTGCTTTCCCTCCTCAGGTACGCGAAGATGAAGACGCCCACCAACATCTACCTCTTCAACCTGGCCCTGGCCGACGCGCTGGCCACCAGCACGCTGCCCTTCCAGAGCGCCAAGTACCTGCTGGGGACGTGGCCCTTCGGGGAGCTGGTGTGCAAGGCCGTGCTCGCCACAGACTACTACAACATGCTCACCAGCATCTTCACGCTCACCGTGATGAGCATCGACCGCTACGTGGCCGTCTGCCACCCCGTCAGGGCCCTGGGCTTCCGCACGCCCGCCAAGGCCAAGCTGATCAACGCCTGCATCTGGGTCCTGGCCTCGGGCGTCGGCGTGCCTGTCATGGTCATGGCCACGACCCGCCCCCGCGGTGAGTGAGCGAGGGGCAGGGCCTGGGCCTGTGTGGGCTTGCAGGGCACGCAGCAGGGCGGGTGTGCACGGCTTCCCTGGAGGCGTGGGCAGCTGGTCGGGGACGGTGTGGGGGCTGCTGAGGGGAGGGCGGACGGGCACCGGCACCGGTGGGAGTCGACGGCTAGCTGGCGGCTGCGGTGGACTGGTCAGAGTTCTGGGGCTGCTGGCCCAAGGGGACGCACAAGTGGGGTTATGGATGGCCGGCCCACACACATGCCGGCTGGCCAGGGACACGTGGGTGACTGGCCTGCAGGGGGACTGAGTGGCGAGCAGTGGAAGCCGCGAGAGCTGCTTGCACCCCAAGTCCCTTCCACTCCAGCGGGACCATCCAGGGCCCGAGCAAGGCCGGGGGCGGCACGCCTGCAGAGCGGCTGGCCCAGCTCCCGGGTTCACGTCAGCTCAGGTGCTTGGTCGAGGGCAGGTTCTCACTCGTCCCATCCAGCTCCAGCTGAGGCTGCGACTCCCACTGCTGGCCTGGGGGAGTGGGGGCACCATCCCTTTGGAAGGTCTGGGCCTCCCTTCCACCTGGCTGGGAAGGAGCTGCAGCCATTGGTAGCTGGCACACCTCTGAGCCAGGCTGGATGGCGGCTGTGGAGAGGGTGAGATGTCTGGGCATGTAAACGCACCAGTCAGCGGGCTCTGCCACAGCCCAGGACACGGTGCTCAGTGGCCAGGTCTGGAGCCAGGAGGGGGCAGTGAGGGCTGGGAGCAACCGAGGGGGTACTGAGCCCAGGGTCAGTCGGGCGTCTGGTGGGACGGGGCCCACCCGTGACCTCCTGGCCCCTCCGGTGGAGCTTTGCCGAGGGTCGGTGCCACGAGTAGGTGGGAAGAGGATGGTGGGAGGCTGTTGTCTCCCTTGACCCACAAAGTCGGGGCCCCTGGTGCCCATCATAGTCGGAGTGACTGTTCTTTTTTTCTCAGTTTTGCTATAGGGCACATGTGCTCACTGGAGGGGGGGTGGGAGAGAGAGGGAGTGAGAGAGAGAGAGAAATCACCCCCAGGGAGCTGGCCACACTGCAGTCCCTTCTCTATTCTCCTCTTGGGATTTTGGGCATGTACACACCCGGACTTGGAGTGGTCAAGACGCCAGGTCCAGGACTCAGACTGCAGTCGGCCGTGTGGGACCCGGAGCCTTGACCTGCCCGCTGCCTGCCGGCCCGCTGAGAAGCTGTTTTGATGCAGAGTTCGCCCTGTCCCTCGCCTTCAGTTAGGGCCATTTACTGCAGCCGTCAGGGCAGAGCCGGCCAGGTCTCCTCACGCCTCCCTAGGGTCCTGCCAGCCTGGTGCTCCATGGGCCCTTTGTGGGTCGCCAGCCCCTTCTCAGAACCTGCAGGTCCTCAGTGTGGCTCCTCTCAGCTGAGCATCCCAGGAGAGCCCTGGGCCAGCCTCAGGCTCGGCGTCGCAGAACCCCCTGGGGCTGGCAGCCACAGGCACCCTTCAGTAGTGGAGAGCCTGTCCCTCCTGGGTGCCCTGCTGCCCCCAGGCAAGCCTGGCCATCAGAAAGTTCTTGAAACCAGGGGCGGTCTGCCCCTCCTAGGAGGCTGTCCCAGCCCTCACCTCTGCCCCCCAGATGCTGCCCCCTCCCTGGTGTGCTCAGGAGCCGAGCCAAGCCCAGTAGGCCGGTGCTCCCCATGCCTGAGGTCACCAGGTCCCCAGAACCATCCGGAGAAGGGCCCTCTTGCCAGTGTCCCCAAGACTGGAAGTCAGGTTGTCACACATAAAGGTCCTGCCCTAATTGCGCTCCCACTGGGCCTGCTCTGGAAGTGGGTCATCAGAATGATTGGCATTTGATGTGCTGGGCTAAGTGATGTAATTACTGCGCCTGTGGACCAGGTGCTTCCGGAGGGGGCTGCAGGAGACCGCCTAGATGGGGGCCGGTCCTACTGGGGTCTTAGAGGATGCATAGGAGGGCAGACGCCAAGCAGGACAGTCCCGGGGAAAGAATCGCAGCCGAAGGCCGGGAGAAGGCAGAGGCGCCTGCGGGAGGGTGGGCAGGCAGCCCTGGCGCGCAGCCCCTGACCCCTCCCTGCCTGTGCTTGTTTTCCGCCCAGACGGGGCCGTGGTGTGCGTGCTGCAGTTCCCCAGCCCCAGCTGGTACTGGGACGCGGGGACCAAGATCTGCGTGTTCCTGCTGGCCTTCGTGGTGCCCATCCTGGTCATCTCCGTGTGCTACGGCCTCGTGCTGCTGCGCCTGCGCCGCGTGCGCCTGCTGGCGGGCTCCCGGGAGAGGCCGCGCGGCCTGCGGCGCATCACGCGCCTGGTGCTGGTGGTGGTGGGCGCCTTCGTGGTGTGCTGGGCGCCCATCCACGTCTTCGTCATCGTCTGGACGCTGGCCGACCTCGACCGGCGCGACCCCCCGGGG